TACTTAACAAATGTTGACAGAATAAATGAGAGAGACCAAGAGCCCAGGAAGCATGGCGAGTAGCTAACTAGCTAGTCATGAAACTACAAGTTACCTCCTGAAATCTCTTTATTATGTGCTTGTTTCTTTGCACAACTAGTGTTTGATTTTCTTATACCATGGAGCTCTCTTACAGATTCCTGTCAGGGATGAGAACTAACATTTGTTCTATATGCCAAAAGTCCTCAGTATGTGAGACACATAAGATCCAAAGTATATCAGCAAACAAGGAATGAGTCTTCATATTCAGGTTCCTCTCAATCTACACTTCTGGGATATCTCCTTGTTCCTTTCCTTTGACCATCTTACTGTAAACTTCCGAGGTACAGGGAGTATATTATTTGCTTATCTTATAAACCTGCAAAGTGCCTAATACAAGACACAGACTGTAATCTTGACACTTGTTATTGACAATTATTTTGCAAACTGGACTCTGACATTAAAAATAAGGGGGGGCGGGGGTTAGGACATCTAACATGAAGTCACAGCACCCAGCTAATGCATCAGCTTTTTGAAAGAAATTTTCTGTAGTTATTGCGTGTGTGTGTGTAAAATTAGAAACAGTATCTTCTCTATGACTCAGCAGAGATATAAGAGGATGAATGAAATCTGTGTGAAGTTTGTGCAATCATGCACAAGGACAGTAATTAAGGGGCTTCCAAGGTTCATTCAAGCAATGCTATGTGCCAAGCATTATGCCAAATCCTGGAGAAGACAGAAATAAGAATGTGATGAAGTCTATGGAACTGGAAAGAACACTGGTGGATCTACAGAGTCTTCAGGCTGCTACTTCCCTAACCTTCTCTGAACTCTCTCCTGGTTCTCCGTTCACCTCAGTCTCTTTGTTAGTCTCTATGCTGGTTTCTCTTCTTTGATCCAGCCTCTAAGTCAGTAGTTCTCAAAGTTTGGTCACGGGAACACCAACATCAGCATCACCTGAGAACTTGTTCAAAATGCAAATTCTCAACCCCATTCTGACCTACTCAATCAGAAACTATGGGCGGGGGGGGGCCCAGCAATCTGTGTTTTATCAAGGCCTCAGGTATTTCTGATGCACACTCAAGTCTAAGGACCAATCAAAATTTGATCTAAGTGTTGATGTCCCAAAGTTCCATTCCTTGCCCTTTCCAGTTCTCTTCTCCAATTTTTGGGTAGTTATATCTTCTTCTTCTACTATCTTCTTCTACTACCTCTACAACACTAACTCTAACTACCACTACTAATAGCAGCAGCTATCATTTATTAAACATTTATAAGCTAGGCACTGTGCTAATCATTGTGTGCATACTATCTTATTTAATCTCCACAATGATTCTTTAAGGTATTATTAACCCCACTTTAGGAAGAAATTTAGGCTTAGAGATGTTAAATAACTTGCCCAAGGTCGCCCAAACCAACCAATAAGTGAAACAGATCTGACCTCAGGTTTTCCTGACTCCAAAGTCCACGGCATTAGCTACTATACTCGCTCTTAGAATAGTACTATTTCCATAGCCTTGGAGATTGTCACAGTTATTCCGCAACTGTCTCATCAACTCTGGAGTAGAATTCCCAATCACCTACTGGCTCTCTCTAAATTCTACACAGGGACCTGATAATTAACATGCCACCATTTCTTCTTTCCACTGCATATCTGTTCTTCCTCCTGTGTTTTGTAATTTAATGTCATCATAATATGATTGTACTCACGCCAGACACATCTTTGACTTCCCACTCTCCCTCCTCTAGATGGTCGTAACATTTAGAGATTTTAACATCTAAATAACATCTAAAATACCTCTACAGGGCACCTGGGTGGCTCAGTCGTTAAGCGACCGCCTTCGGCTCAGGTCATGATCCCAGAGTCTTGGGATAGAGTCCCGCATCGGGCTCCCTGCTCAGCGGGGAGCCTGCTTCTCCCTCTGCCTGTCTCTCTCTCTCTGTCTCTTATGAATAAATAAATAAAATCTTTAAAAAAAAATACCTCTACAGTCCACCCATTCCCACTCTCCCTCTTCAGGCTCCCAGCCTATCTCATCTACATCCTAACTGGTCTCTCTGCCTCTCCACGCTAATGCAATTCTGCGCAGGAACTGCCAGTTAATTTTCTGATCTGATTAGTCCACCTTCCAAGGCTCTCCATCACCCACATAGGGGTGGCATTGGAGGGAGGAAAGTCTAGGCTTTTTAGAATGGAATGGAAGACCCCCTCATAATTTGGCTCCAAATATATCTTTCCTGTCTCATTAAGAAACAACTCAAGGTTTTCCAAAAACCCTATTAATTTTAATCTTTGGCTACTTTGCTTATGCTCTCCCCTCTGCTTGGAATGCTTCTTTTCCCTTTTACATATACAAAATTTTACTTAACCTGCAGGGCTAAGTTCTATCCTCTTCTCTTTAAAGCCTTCCTGATTCTATCAATTTTTCCCCAGCCAAAGTCATCAATGCCCTCAGCATTTTACTTATTCCAAAGTGATTAACTCTTATAACACACCACAATCAGGGGTTCGTCTAGTCTGATGAACACTTAGTATCTCAGGGGGTAGACCGTGTCTTATTGTTTGTGTTCCCAGCACCTACCACAGTATCTAGCCATAGCCAGCACCCAATAAATATTTGCTGAGTTGTTAAATAATGCAACATTTAGTGTTGCAACTTTACACAGGGTAGGTTAGCAATTCAACTTCAGGTTTAGGAACCACTCAAAAGAATTTCCCCATAACAACAAAAGATATTATAAAGACCAAAGGTTCAATATTCAGCGGCAACATTTTTAATTTTCTCAAGTCTTTTTGTCAATATTTGTTAGCATCCTTCTTCAAATAGACTCCTTTCCCAGCAAACATTATTTGTATATTTTACAAGATTAGCAGTAACTTCAATCCTCACAGACCACTGTTAAGAGATAATCCCAAGCAAAACTGTGTCACCGAGAGTGGCTGGATAATTGCTTTGGGTACATCATTTCAGATTTCCAATGGAGAGGCCCAAGCACATCAGGTAGATTTCAGAAATGGGGACACGCACTGCTGACTAAACACATAAGATACACTCACATTAGTGAGGCATTTATTCAAATTAGTAACTGAAATCAGAAGCATACAACAACCTGATCCTGGTTCAACCATAATATCCCTTAATCTTAAGTAAGGATAACACGTATTCTTGTCTAAGACTCTATTTTTTTTTCTAAGACTCTATTTTAACACAGCTCCCATCCCACCCAGCAGGCAGGCCCTATCCCGTTATCAGTGGGATGCTGATAAGCCTGGCTTAGTCTTAACACTTTTCCCTTCCCAATCTCCTAAACCTTATCTCTCCAGTATCTCCCCATCAGTGATCACCTACCCCATTCACCCGACAGGACAGGAAGGTCTCCTCAACATATCCCCCATCAAGCACACTCACACGATTTTCTCAACATGTGATTTCTTATCTCTTCTCTAATTCAAATTTTATAGCTCTTTCAAAGACCGGATCAAATCTTACCTCTTCCAAAGAGTTCACTAGGTCACCCCACCACAGGTCTTAGCTTTTCTAAATTTCTACTGCACTTAAAGTACAGCTCCTCCCACAGCACTTATTTACATACTGCCTCATTTGGTTTCATGATGATCTGACATACATATGCTTGTTTTCCCAGCCAGACTGTTTACTCTTAAAAAAAAAAAAAAAAAAGCCAGGTCTTCTATGTCATTTGTACCCACAACCCTCCTCCCACATGTAACATGATATAGGGCAGGAGGGCACATGTATTAACTACTTGATGAACTGAGTTAAATGTTTGCTGTACATTAATAAACACTCAGACACAGTGCAATATATAACAAATACCTATTGTGTGCCTACTCTGCAGCAAACTTTTGTAGATGCTTAAGAATAAAATGCTTATGAATAAAATGCTTCTGAATAAAAATGACATGATACCTGTCCTAAAAACTGGTACAGTCAGCAGAGCAAGAGACATTGAATTTCCAGTACTCTAAGTGCTACAGAGCAAGGTTATTATTGGTTCCAAGATGTAAGCACCTCAGGCAGCATACTTTACAGAGCCTCAGTTATGAAACTGAACCACAAAATTTTAGAGCTGAATGAAAACTCACAAGTTATTTTCTTCAATTTTCTTGCACAGATCACGATTAAATTTCAGGATAGTCTCTGTACCAGTTCTAGACATTGCCTTAATCAAAAGTCAGGAAATACTGACTTCTTCCCTACCTCCAATACTCTTTTTCTCCCAAGGATGATAACTACAACCGCCACATACTGACTCATGAGGGGATGCAGCGCCCTCAGAGCACTGGTCCGATGATTTGCTGCACCTTACACTCAGGCTTGCCCGACCACCACCATGTTCTAGCCCGCACGTTGAACAGAATCTGTATTTTCTGCCTAGTAACTAGCAAGTCTATACTACTTTTAAGGAAAACAAAAAACAGTGCCTCCCTACTTTCTTGGCCCTCATAATGACAGAAACACAACAGGGTTCTGAGAAATAAAACAGCTGATTTGAGTCTACGAGGAAGTGAGAACTTAGGATGGATATCCGCCCCCGGCCTCAAAATCCTTAGCAACAATGTGATATAGAATGCCTAGGGCAAAGTTGTATGCGTGCACTAGGCACGTGCACATACATGTGAAGTTCGAAACTCAGGCAACAGGTTGGCCACCCCCTATGAGTACTGACAGATCGCCTTCCCCAGGTCGTGGGTGTGTCTGACGCCGCACGCCGGCACTGATTCACAACCCTCTCCATAACAACCGGCTCCTCCTTGGAGCCCAGCCAGGGCAGGGGTGAGGAAGGCCCCAGCATGCCAAACTTTCCGAACCCCAACCCCGCGTCCGCAGTTCCGCCTCCTCTCGGTCTCTGTCAACCTTGTCTCAGTCAGGCTGCGAGACTGCTCTAGGAACCTGGGCTTCTCCAGATTCGGACTCCTCTGTCTGGGAGCCCGGCAAAGTCACCCCGACGCCCCCAGACACCTACTTCCCACTACACCTTCCGGGACCACAATGTCTCCACCGGCCCCTCGCTGCCGCTTCCCGGATCGCCCGCGCCCAGAAACTGACCCTCGCCAGCCCCCGTCCCCGCTCCTTCCCCGCCCCCGGAAAAAGCGCCAGAGGGGCGTGGAGCGGCGCGCGCGGGTACGGTGGGGGCGCGCGTTCCCGCGCCGAGCCCGCGCAGCAGGTGCGGCCAGGCCCCACCTCCCCTGAGAGGCCCCGGCTACTCACCCCAACGATGTTCCTCTGCGACCTAGCCTCCCGTACGGACGCCTCTTCCGCCTGCTCCGCACGCACCTCGTAGCCACCGCCCCCTCGGCCGCTGCCGTCGCCGCCGTCCTCGCCGCCGCCGTCCTCGCCGCCGCCGCCGCCGCCGCCGCCGCTGGCGCGGCGCGCGTCCGCCTTCACGCACACCGCCGTGGCCGCGCACGCGCCTCTGCGCGCTGGCGTCACTTAGCAACCGGTTGGCGGCGGGGAGGCGGGATCTGAGGGTTTAGGGCCGGAGGTCGCCTCTGGCGGGTTTTGCGGCGTTTCCCCACCCCCCTGACCCGTCGCCCTCCTGAGCTGGGGGCCCCAGGGTGTGGCTGCCCTGCCGGCACCTGGCTCCGGGTAAGTCACGTCACCATACGTCACTGTATGGCGTCACCGATCGCGTCACTGCAGATGGGAAGGTCCCTGTCGTGAGGTTCCAGGGCCCCTGTGGTGGAAAGAGCGGTGGCCTCGTCCAGACTGGCGCCGATCCCATCGGTACTTCTGCGAAGTGTGGGAAGGTTCTACAGGGAGTGGAACCAGAAGGGGCTGAGGGCGCAGTCAACGTGGAAGACTGCTGAGTGACACTTGTTAACCCAGCAGCAGGGTGTGATGGACCGAGCCTTGAATTCCCCCGTTACCTCATTTTATAAGTGGGGCTAACAGTACCCATCCTGCCTACATTGGAGAATTGTGAGGCTAAGAAGAAATAATGTATGCAAACGTGCTTTGTAGAGTATAAAGCCCATTAGACTTTAAAATATTTTTATTATGGGAGAAGGCAGCCAAGCAAGAGCAGATGAGAGCAGGGACTTGAGAGTCAGAGAAACTTAGGTTCAAGTCTGATCCTGGCTGATGTTGGATAGTCAGTTTTGCTTGACGCTTGGACAAACTGGGGTACCAGGGTGTGGGGGTTTGGAGACTAACAATAAAGGATGTTTCTTGAGCAAAGGTATGGAAGTGAAGATGGACAGGACGAGTAAGACCTGAGACCGGGAGACGAGTATTGAGGCCATTGCTGTACTCCAGTTAAGAAATGATTAGAGCCTTAACAAAGGTATTGGCAGTGGGAATGTAGGAGAAAGAATAGATGTGAGTACTGTTAAGGTGGTAGAATTGACAGCACTGACTGGGGGATAAGTAAGTAGGACAAGTTTCTAGTATGGATGCTGGAAGAGATGGTGGAACTATTTAGCAAGATGGGAAGAAAGATGAGTCTGGGTTATCCACCAGTTTCCCTACTAAGTTACTAGATAGTGGTGGTGACAGTCTTGGAGGATGATCAAATTTGTGGGATGAGATGGTGATGAGTTCAAATATAAATCTGCTTATTGGGGAAACAATCTCCACTCATGATGTTTCTTTCCATTTGGGGTGATATCCATTAATACAATACTCCTGGCTTCTCACTGCACCTGCCCCAGCTCACTCCTCCCTGGAGCAATGACTTCGTGATTGGTGGATTTAAAAGGAGAAACTGGGCATATATAGCCCATCCCATTCTTTTTCTTAAAAGAAAAGTGCCTTCAAGGAATTGCCTTGATGGTGTTCTCTGCCTCTCCAGCAGCAGGACCTGGGATGCTGTTGAGGGTGCCTGGTCCAGGACGACAGTTAGTAAACCTATTTAATTTCATAATTTTGTATTAGGAAGCTCTCTGCCCACAGGTAATATCCAGTACCAACTTCATCAGTTGTATTATACAGAATAATGGTCCCCCAAAATTGTTCATGTCCTAATCTACAGAATCTTGTAAATGTGTTCCCTCCCTTATGTGGCAAAAGGGACTTTGCAGATGGGATTAAGTTAAGGATCTTGAGATGAAGAGATTATTTTAGATTATCTGGCTGGGCTTGGAGGTAGGAAGATCAGAATCAGGGAAAGAGATATGATGATGGAAACAAAAGTCAGAAAGAGAGATATGAAGAATCTGCACTACGGGCATTGAAGATGGCACTGAGGAATGCAGACACCTTCTGGAAGCTGGAAAAGGCAAGGAAATGGATTCTTCCTTAAAGCCCCCAGAGAGAACACAGCTCTGCCAATACCTTGATTTTAGGATTTCTAATCTCCAGAACTGTCAGGTAATAAATTTGTGTTGTTTACTAAGTTTGTGATATTTGTTACAACAGCAGTAAGAAACCAATACAGTCAGTGGTAAAGATGATAGTTGGTCTTCTGCCGCATCCTCCTTTATTTGAAAGAGAAGGGTGCAGGTTCTCAGGCTCTCTCAAAGACTGCTGCATTGTGACTGTGACTTGATGGAGGGAACCTCCACATCCAGAGGGAAATATCCAATAAGCAGTTGAATTACACAGATCTATTAATGAGGAGAGAGGTTAAGTCAAAATAAAATAGATTTAGAGGACATTAACTTTTAATTGGTAATTTAAGTCCTAGGTATGGATGAGATCCATCAGGGAGAAACAATAGAAGAAACAATAAAGAAGACCAAGGATGGAGTTCCAGGAAGCACTAGCTATAAAGGGGAGTGGCAGATGAACAGACACCCACAAAGAAGTCTGCGGAACTTGGATAATGCCTCAAGGCTGTAATGTCTCAAAAGCCAATGTTGGAAAGAATTGCAAGATGGAGATGAGGTCAGTAGAGTCAGAGATCACAAGTAGGTCAAGTATATCAAGCGCTGAAAAGCACTGACTGGATTTAGCAACACAAAAGTGATTGGTGACCAACGATAATGGCTTTAGTGAGGTAGTAGATATAGACATCAAATTAGTGGGGTCTGAAAGGCAGGTCAATATAGTTGACTGGACTCTAGAGTGGTTGATGGATGTTTGAGACTCTAGTCTTGGTTCTGGCAATTAACTAGCTAGGTAACCTTGGGCAAATCACTTAACTATTCCAGGCTTTGGTTTTCTCATCTACCCAAGGAGAGATCAGGCTGAGTCTAATTTTCACATAAATTCCTAGGTAATCCCAACTTTCTATTAGGCTTATTTGCTTATAACAGCACACTTCAAATCACACACTTCAAATCCTACTCAGATCATTTCACCAAACATTGAGAGTTAGTATGTTATATGCCAGCTTCTGTCCAGATACTATGGATCTAATACAGTTATCTGAGAAGCTCACAGTTTTGGAAGGGAGATAAACACAGAAGTATGTAACTAATTGCCATAGTTCTTTTTTAAGCAAAGCAAGGTACAAATTGAATGAACTATTAACTGTAACACAGTATATACTACATGCTATAGTAGAAATCTGTCCAAAGTGAAATAAGGGATGTATAAAGTGATACAGATAAAGGAGCAATCAGTTTTGTCTAATGGAAATCAAGGTATTTACCTACTCTCTAGGCACAGTGTGCTTCAAAAATGGACATAGCTGTACCAATGACGTTTCCCATGGTGATTTAAAAAAATGAGAGTTGTGCTAAGTCAGTGCCAATCTTTTAACATTCCTTCTAGGTAGTTTTGTTGTGATCTGAAAGGTTATTTATGTACAACTACTTCTAAACTAAATACACTGTTGAACTGGGGGGAAATGGACATATGTACAAGTTGAATGCAAGAGGAATTTATTCCACCAGATCCAAGAGGAAACATCTATTTGTTATACATACCATGCTCATTTACATTTGCTCATCTAATTCTCAGATATTATCTCATTTAATTTTGCAGACATCAGCTTATTGTATCAACAGCCGACATTGTATCTCTGTTTTAGCAGGTAAGAACACAAAGTTGAAGTAATCTGGTCAAGGTCATACTAACAGCAGTTAAGTAGTAGATTAAGATTTGGACTGAGCACAGGCATCCTCCTTTCCTCGGGCCCTTAATTTAAGTGCCCTTCCTCTGTACTATTACATCATGTGCACACCTTCATTTTAGCATTTACTATAATAATGATGATGCTTACTATGTTCCAGGTCCTGTTTTAGGTACATAATAGGCGCTAACTCATTTAAGGCTCATAATAGCTCTTTGAGGTATAGTTTTAATCACAATACTTTTATAAATCAGGAAACTAAGGCACAGAAAGTTTAAGTAATTTACTCAAGGTCACACAATAACTGCTGGGGCCAGGATTCACCGATACCAAGCACCCTCTGCTAACATGGAGGGATTCTAGACGACATAGTTTACAGAACTCATCAATGCAGTTACTGTAGGGCTGTTGTGTGTGATATTGCTCTGTATTCCTTATTAAATGAACACAAGAGAATTTTTTCTCAGGCCAACCGTCATGAAACTCAAGGCTACCTTTGAGTAACTGGTAAGTTTTCTCCTCATAGGCAATGTGAATTATATAACTGGCTGTTTTCCTCCTTTCACTTTGACTGCCAAGAAGCTCCGAGTAAATTTGTGGCTCAGCATTAGTAACTGGGAGGATGCTTGGCCTGCATATCTGTATTCTGTTGGTTTGAAATTCTTCAAAATAAAAAGTTGGGGGAGAAATAATCTAAATTCTTCTTTATTTTCTAAATTTTTGGCGGTGTACATTTATAATTAGAAAAGGCAAATAAAAGAATGTTTGCCACTTCGAATGATTTCTCAGGCTTTACTCTGTGGACAAGAACTAGTTTCAGGTTAAATCCCATGCATTCAATATAGAATCCTAGTTCTTAGAAAACCAGGACTCCTGCATTTCTTTGAAAAGTCCAGATCACCAGAATTTGTGTTCAGACAGATCAGAAGGTATTTTAAGTAGCATAAAAGAAGCAAGTTGTGACCCTCCTTGTTTTTAACCTATATCTAAGTAATTTGAGACCACTTTTGGATTATTTTGACATATGCTAGCTTGCTTTAGAGATAGAAAGTCAGTTATCTTCCTTAATGATGATATTTTATTATAATGAAGTTTAATGTACAGTTGATTTTGTGGTTTACCATTGGCTGAAAGAGTGGATAAAGATCACCTGTTCTAAAACTAAAATAATGGGGTGCCTGGGTGGCTCAGTCGTTAAGCGTCTGCCTTCAGCTCAGGTCATGATCCCAGGGTCCTGGGATCGAGCCCCGTATCAGGCTCCTTGCTCAGCGGGAAGCCTGCTTCTCCCTCTCGCACTCCACCTGCTTGTGTTTCCTCTCTGGCTGTGTCTCTCTGTGTCAAATAAATAAAATCTTTAAAAAATAATAATAATAATAATTATTTTGGTACATTTTCTCAAGTTTAATTGACCAGATCCAACAACTAAATACCAGATTCATTTCTTTATTTAAGGGTATGTTTTGCAAGTAATTCTTTCAGGTAGATTTACTGGCCACTTTGCTAAAAGCCATACATTTCATGGGAGCATTATGCAGATTATTCTATAGCTAAAGTGAACAACTGATAATTTCTTCTTTGAAAATTTTTCAGTCCAAATCTTCATTTTCCAACAGGGTATTCGAATACCTAAATGCTCTACACTCAACCCAGCAGATTGTTGTCGTGTGGTGGGACCAGCATCGAGGGTTGCCATATTTGAATTCTATTGATCTCTAAGTATTAGAAACTAAGGTGTTAGTTAATGTGTTAGTTACCTAGTTAACTTTGTAAAAATAAAACAAAGAAAACACACAC